TAAGCGCACCCCATTGAAGTGATGACACATACCAAATTTTATATTCATATAGTTAGTAGAAATTTTTTTTAAAATAAAATATTTTGAGACGTCGGATCTAAATTAAATGATTAGTGGCTCGCTTGATTTAAATGGAACGGCTGGATGAATAGTAGGTACATTTTATAGTTCGATTTAAGAGAAAATATATGGTAAGATCATTTATTTTTGGTACATATAAAATAATACATAATCATCTTCAGCTGATAGATGCAAAATTGAGTGATGGGAGGTGTGCTAATGAAAAAAAGTTCTCTTCAACTTTAAAATGCACCACTAGCTACTTGATTTCAAGTATGAGGCATAAGGGTTAGTGTGTGGGTGTAAGTGAATAAAAACAACTACTAGTTACATGTCAAATTATAATGAATATATGATATTGTTATTGACTCTTTCTCAATATGTACGGGTGTAAATGAATAAAAAACAACTGTCATTTACGAGTCAAATTATAATGAATATATGACATTGTTATTGACTCATTCTCAACCATCCGATTACAATCAGGTTGGTGAATGTCTCCAAAAACACATACATTGGTGGAGATAGAGATGCATATAAAGCCTTTTATTTATTAGTGGCCTTTTAGAGAGAGAGAGAGAGAGAGGAAAGAGAGACAGAGGGATGAGTACTATCAAATTGTTTTTAAGTCCCAAGAGAGATGAGTACAATCACTTCATTCATTCATGTGGCCTTGTCTCTTTGGTTATTCTTCTCAATTTCTCCATGATGATTGACCAAATTTATCATATTCTTGAATTGTTTACAAGTCAAATTATAATGAATATATGACATTATTATTGACTCATTCTCAACTATCCGATTACAATTAAGTTGGTGAATATCTCCAAAAACACATACATTGGTGGAGATAGAGGTGCATATAAAGCCCTTTATTTATTAGTGGCGTTTTAGAGAGGGAGAGAGGAGAGATGAGTACGATCAAATTGTTTTAAAGTCCCGAGAGAGATGAGTACAATCACTTCATTCATTCATGTGGCCTTGTCTCTTTGGTTATTCTTCCCTATTTCTCCATGATGATTGACCAAATTTATCATATTCCTAAATTGAAATTTCTTGATTTTTTTTTGTTCTGGGCAAATATTACATCCACCCTTAGGCTAATTGCAAACCTCAAGGCATATTTATTCTGCCCCAAATTTGGCTTATATATTTTCGGCTCCAAAGTGTATCTATTTCTTTTTAAAATGCGCAATGAATTTCTTTTTTTTTTTTTTTTGAACACAGCAATAGCAAGTCATCCATTTCTTGGGCAGAAAAATCTAGTCCTCTATTTTTTTTTTTTCTCGATTTTCACTATCCATGAATTGGATTTTCTTGATTTTCTTGATTTTTTTTTTCTTGATTTTCTTTCCTAAAATGACATTCACTATATTTTCTCTCGTAAAAGTCCATTTTCCAAAGCAGTTATTTAGAGATTTTTTACCATCTTCTTCCTCATTATTAAAAGAATATGTGTGCCAAATTTGAGGCGAAATAAATGACACTACTTCCCCCAAAATGAGGGAGGCCATTGACTGAGAGCAGGGGGACCAAATGTTCTCAGGCCTTTCTTTTCTTTTTATTTACCATTATACAACATTTTGTTAAGGGAAAAGTTTATAGAGAGCCGAGGCTCTAAACAATCAAATTCGAGCCTACCTCAAAATTTCAGTAAAAGAGGTTGTTTTGATGCCCAAATATATTCAAACTAATCATCTCGACATCAAGATGAATGGGCATGAGAAAAAAATGGATTTCAAGTTTTAGAAATAGTGTATTTTGTAACGCACTTTTGGACCGTCAATTTTCAAGTTTTCATAGATCTCTTGATCTACACTATTTTTGAAGTTTTAAACTTTATAAATAAAGATGAAAATATATTTTAAGGCTATCAAAAAGATTTCCAGTATTGAAACCACATTTTTCGATACTATTTGAAAGTAGGCTCTAATTTGATTGTTTAGGCCCTAGGCTCTATACAAACGGCACTCTTTTGTTAAATATGCAACTTGAAAATTATTGAATCAAACAAGGCCCTTCATAAATAGCTGATTGATTACATAAATAACTGATTCAACTCACTTAAGTCTTGCAATGAACATTCCTTGGAGTTTGGAAAGGACAAAGAAGTTGTCAAGAACTAGGCCCTAAAGGTCGCAATGGACCGGGTGGCCCAGTCAGCCCAGCCTTGAAAAACTAGAGCCTACGCTACAAAATGTAGCCCCAAGGTCAAGCCATGGCTGGGCAACCACAACCCAAGGGTAGGGCCGGATGGAGGATGGGCTATGGCCGGCCTGATTCTGCGACCTTTTTTATTATTTTTTTTTCATTTTTTTATTTGGCTCGACCTAGGCTAGCGCCTCTTTAACCTCGGCAGAGCCTATGGCGAATAGGGCCAAGCTGGCCCGGCCTAGGCTGAGTCAGTTGCCACCCATACTATGCTCTTGGTAAACCCAATGCCAGATGGACTATGAAAAACCATGGTTCATTGGGTGCTAGACCATCTTACAAGATGATGCAAAATGATGTAAGAGGAGTTTGGCCAGAATAAGGTATGTGTCCTTTCTCCATAGCTATCATTGAAAAGACTTGCCTTTCCATCCCTATCAAACTTTTCTCTTTCCCCATTCTTTTAGTTATTTCATGAGGAACTGGGTACAAATATTTAAGTTACTTCATATGAGAGAGAGAGAGAGAGAGAGAGAGAGAGAGAGAGAGAGTAGT